GGGGGGTTAAGGTAGGGGGAAGAAAGATATTTTCGCTGGCATATGCGGATGACGTAGCGATTCTGGCGGAGGAAGAGGGGGAGATAAAATGTTTGATAGAGAGGTTAGCGAGGTACTTGGATGGGAAGGGATTGGAGATGAATGTGGAGAAGTCAAAAATTATGAGGTTTAGGAAGGGAGGAGGGAGGGAGAAGAGTGTGAGTTGGAGGTGGAAGGGAAAGAAAATTGAGGAGGTGAAAAGTTATAAATATTTGGGATATACGCTGCAGAAGAACGGGGGACAGGAGGAGCATGTGAAGGAAAGGATAAGAAGAGGGGCGTCAGCAATGGGACAGGTTTGGGGGATAGGAAAGAGGAGATTTAAGGGGGATTGGGGGAGGAGTTTATGGTTATTCGATAAGCTAGTGTGGTCAGTGATGGGGTATGGGGTGGAGGTATGGGGATGGAAAGAGAGGGAGGGAATGGAGAGGTTGCAAGATAGGTATTTGAGGTGGGTTTTAGGGGTGGAATGGGAGACGCCAGGATATTTGTTGAGGGAGGAGTTACAAAGGGAGAGAATGAGAGAAAGGGCGAGTATAAGGGCTTGGGGTTTTGAGAAAAGGTTGGAGGAAGGAAGGGGAAGTAGGATAGCAAGATTGTGTTGGGAGGAAATGAAAGAGAGATGGAAAAGAGGGAAGGTTATTGGAAAATGGGAGAATGAAAGAAAGTATTTTTTTGAGGAGAGAGGATTAAGTTTGTGGGAAGTGGAGGAAGAGAGGGAGAAGAGTATGGGGGGATTTGAGAATGTGATAAAGAGGGAGAGGGAAATGCATAGGATGGAGAGGTGGTATAGGATAAAGGAGGCAAAATATAATAAATGGTATGGGAGGATAAAAGGGGAGGGGATACCAGGGTACTTGAAGAAGGGGTGGGGGGAGAATAGGTGGCAAAGGTTAGCGAAATTTAGGTTAGGAAATGGGATGAGGGGGAACTGGTATTGGAAAGAGGAAGAAGAAAGGAAATGCAGATTATGTGGGATTAGGGAGGAATCATGGGAACATGTATGGGAGGAGTGTCTGGATTGGGGGGAGGTAGGAAGCTGGCAAAAGATGGTGGAGTTGGTGTTGGGGGAGGAAGGGGAAGGGGGGGAATGGTTAAGAAGATTGGAAGGAATGAGAGAGGTGGAGAGGGGGAGGGGGAGAGGA